TTGTAATTTCGCTTTGTATTATGTGCTTCGTTGTCAGAAGCGCTTCGAATAAAAGTTTATAGAAAACTTAATCCTTGATCTAAAACGTTTGTATTAATTATTTTGCTAAAAAACAATTTGAAACCACTGTATATTGTGTAATAAATAAATAATAATAAAAACGAGTTTATCGTGCTACACGAGCCGAAAGTAATGTGAAATAGAGCTCATAAGATTAACTACGAATTAGAACTACGTTCACACTTGATTCAAATCTGACTAAATTGTTTGCCTCTTTTTTTTTAGGAATTTTTATCATCGCGTTAACGGGTTCACAACAAAATGATTAGGCATTTTGAGAGTAAGTTATAGTAATTGAAATTATATATATTAGCTACAATTAATTAAATAATTAAAAAAAAAAAAATTGTAATTTGGTTTAGTTTTTACTGCAGAACGCCGTCTCGTCCAAACATCTGCACTCTCGCTTTTGAAAGACACTCGTCTTGGAATTGAAGGTGCACATTGGCTTCGTAAAATTTTACAGAATTCTGCGAAAGAGCCTGCAACTGCCGCTTTAGGTGGCATACCGATTGGGCTTAGAGCTGCAATAGAAAAAGAATTAGAACTCATAAGGTTATATAAATCAATACATATTCAACCAATATCATCATTATGTTAAATTTACATATTATATTAGATCTTATGGAATTACCCCAGTTTTTGTATTTAATGGTCTCAACGTTATTCGCAAAGACAAACCATTTTCAGTGGAGGATTTAAGGCCAGGGAGACGGTCTCAAGCTTGGGATATGTATGAGAAAGGTCGAGTTGATCCTGCTTATAGTCAATGGGCAAGTTCTGGATTTATCCACCAGCCAGATTTATTATATTTTGTGTTCAGCATATTCAAAGAAAATGATGTGGAATTTATTCGAGCACCTTACTCTGCTTGGGGACAGGTATTTTTACATTACGATTATTCAATTGATGATTCCTACTTTATTCCTTGGTCATTTTAAGTGTGTAATGTTGGGATATCTCGAGTCAGTTTCACAAAAGTTCCACAGAATTTATTATCAAATATATCAACTACATATTTATATATTGTAATCTTGTTTTATATTGCATTTTGACAGTGCAAAATACTTTTGTCTAGTATTCCAAGATCGTTCATAAGAAACACATAACTCACGTTGACTCTATCTTTTATGCCAAATCACTGTGATTATTATACAAGCTGGTATATCTAGAGCGTCATCCCAAAACATACATCCATGCCCTTTATGGTGGTTCAGAACTGTTAATGTATGACGTTGACAAAGTCATTGTCAACATGGATCTGGAGGTTTGTTTTTTTTTTCGTTAAAGAAAAATTTTTATTATAAATATGGTATGAATTGAGCTTTTAAACTTTATATTAAATAATTTCAAGTACTTCCTTAATATTATATATTAACAGAAGGGCACATATTCATGGCTTAACAAAAAATCTATACTTGCTGACCTTCAATTAAACGATGATCAATTTCTGGATGTCTGTATTCTCGCTGGCTTCGAATATTGTGGTACTTTTCCGCCACTGAATTCTGAATTTAGTGGATTCAGCTTTAAAGGTGTTCATGACCTAATTAAACAGTATCGAAATGGTTTCAATGCTGTTCAAGGTTATGCAGATCATGCGGGCGTCCAAAAGACCAACTACATAGAAACATTTTGTCGTACCAGGTGCGCTATTAAATTCCATATGGTATTAACAGATGAAGGAAAAGTAGAACCATTAAACGCGGAGACATCACCTAGTGATATCCATGATGTAATTGGTTATCGTTTACCAGACGAGGTATATTTTTATTTATCCAGAGGGCTGATGTCTCCACAGGTATTACAGATTAATTTATTTGCGACAACTGTGATAAAAATAATTTTTTATAATCTCTATCATATAATTAAAATAGTGTTTTTCTTTATAGGTTATTAATACTTTGATATCAGGTGTTCTCATTGAAAATCCTCCCCTATGCAATGGCGAAACGCAAGAATATAGACAATTTTTGAGACAAATACTTGATCTTCGTACGCAAGCAATGGGCCTACTTACCCAACCTCTTCACCAGTTTTACCAATCTAGGAAGGTCGTAAGTGTTTATTGGTTTGAGTCTGGTAATGAACATCCTTTAAACCATAATGTTGCTCCGAGTGTTCATGAGACATTAAATACTTGGAATGTTTTGGAAAGGGGATTAGAAGAAGAGAAGAAGGTTCAGAAGGCATGCGTTAATTACTGTATCTGTTTATAAATATATGCAATCATATAATTCACAATATTAATTTTGAAACCCATTTCTAGACTTCTGTTATTGATATTGCTTTTTGTTTGAGAGCAACAGCGACTGAAGAGCAAGCTGCAAAGACCATTATGCCCAAAAATAATGACAAAACTATTGATTCCAAAGATGAAATTGTAGGAAATGTATTGTGGAAACTTTTGGAATTAAGAGAGTAAGCCACTTTTTGATTAAAGTTATTATTATTATTATATATTATTCAACCAATTTATATTTATTTAGGTTTTTAACACATGCCCAACATACTCATACCATATGGGGCGTTGCTTTTAAAAAGGCTCTTAACTCTGCTAAGTCAAATACTGAATCTCATCACGAGCAATTATTTAGCGCTTTAGAATTGATTAGATTTGGTTATCTCCATGGTAATAATTATAGTAGAGTATATTATGTTGCGCCTAGTTGCGTAAGTGGTATGTATAATAGTGTTATTTTAAAATGTAAATCTTATATTTTTTTTTTCTTATTAATAAATTTAATTCACACAGATGAAGAAAAACGACATATTCTTCTGATTTCGAGGACTCTTAGTTTAGTTCCTATAAAATTTAAGGTATGTATATTTGGTCATAAGTTACATCCTTTGCCATGTGTCTAACATCATATATCTGTATTCAGGGAGTACCATGGGTTGGGCCTTTATGTAGAGAAATGTTAGTTTTTAATAGCTTCGTTAAAGCATTAAACCGGTCATTACGTAATCTATGTGAAATGTTAACTTTATCGATGTTTTTAAACGGTGATTGTGAAAAAGATCGTCAAGATTATCTTGATCTCGCATTAAGGTTTGTTCATCGCAGTATATGGCAACAACGATTAATTTTGTAGTGTCAATATGTTTGTCTCATATATTAATCATTCGCTTTGCACAGTCTGCCATTTTTATATGACGCCAATTCTGGATTGGGTATTATTGCCAAGACATATCTTGAAAATACTATTACTCTGGCAAAAGAAAGTGATAAAAACATAAAATCTGATTCACTCAAGAAACTTGAGGAAATCTTCACTTCGTGTATAAATGTTAAAGCAGATCTAGAAAATGGGTTTACGTTTTGGGATGAGGTATTCGAACATCGATTATTTTTTTCTTATCGATATATTTCATGCTTACACAATTAACTTAATATCTTTTTCATTTCGAAGGTTCTGGTTGCAGTAAAATCACTTAAGACGAGCGGAGCAATATCCTCTGATATTTCATCTCAATTCTTAAACACAAATACTTGGTTGTCTTCTCGACGTCCTTGATGTTTATATGCGTTTTAATCTGTAACATTCATTTTGTTTTTTTTTTAAAATAAATATTTTTGAGCTAGATTGATCATTAAAGATCATAAGATCATTAACATCTGTATGAATATTGATTCCTGTTTTTTTTTTTTTTCAAATATTATTTATCTCGATTTTTAAGAAAGAAATTTGAATTTTTTTTATGTCGTATTACACAGCTGTTTTCAGAAAAATTCCTTTCTCGAAATCTCTTCGATCCCGTTCTAAGAATTATCTAACTTTCCGGAAACTACGTCGCTGTATCCGGATCGAAGTTTTTAGAACAGGGACATAGTTCCAAGAAGTTAGGTGATTCTTAAGGATCGCAATTTTTTCAGGTATCCCAAAATTTATGAAAACAGAGACGATACATTCAACTGGCTTAACCGGCTAAGCCGGCTTACAACACTACAAATACTGTATATATTTTTTTAAATAATTTTATTAAATTTGGTTCAGTTACTATATTTTGTTTATTTAAAAATATTTTACTAAAAAAAATTTGCTTAATTTCTATATATATCGATATAATAACTATAAAACTAATTACTATACGTTGTTACTATTGTAAATTGGGAGAGCGAGTAACAGTGCACGGTTTAGCTCCAATAGTTAACGTGGTTGAGACGTGATGACATCTCACTTAACCAGGTGGGATTCAAGCATCAATGATATTTGGGAATAGAGGAAAGGCAGATCATTATGTTACTTTATCAAAAAGGACGTTAGCTCCTCTCTCTTTCATTAAATGAGACAGCCTGTGCTTTTATACATTTTACGATCTTAAGAGGCCTGACCTGTTAGAGGCTTCGTACCATTACTTGAGCCTCACACAGCCTTTACACAAACTCAAACTCTAGCAACGTATACTAATATATAACTATATAAAAATTTAGCCGTAGTTAAAAAATCTTTCTTAATTGTTCAACCTGTTGGGTTTGATTGTGAAAAAAAAATTTCTTAATGATAAAGAATAATATAACATAGCAAAAATAAATATATGATAGTATGGCAGATTGAATATTTCGCGATCCAGTAATTGTAATCGACAAATTTATATTTTTCAATTTCAAAAGAAGCATTGAAGCCATTTAGATTCCAATTACTGGATCACGAAATCTTAATCTTCGTTATGATACCCCCATTAAAATAAATTTGGCCAAAAAAACAAATTAAATGTCTTAATAAAAAAACGAATTGAGATCGACGTAAATAGCCAATCAGATGAATGCTATCTACTATGAAGAATGAACATTTCGTCTAAAGTTACGAAGAATGCTGATTACCAAGATTGGTTTATACAATAAAAAAAAAACCTCAATGTATTTCATATGACGTAATATAAAATCGTGTGTAACGTTAGTGCATAAATAGAATCTCGGTCATGCTGCATATTGTTAGGATTAGAATTACAAACGTTTTACGAGTCGAATAATGTCTTACACTAGCGTGGCCCGCGCGTACGCCAATGTTAATCAGTGTATGCCTCGGGAGTACTGGGATTATGGTAAGCGTCTTGCTCGTCGACATTATAAATTCACTTAAAGGATCTGCAAAAGTAACTTGTTCTTTAATTACTCTTCATCACAGATAATTTGCAGGTTTCGTGGGGGTAACGTGTATTTATTTTTTATTTTCGTGTTGAAATTGTTAGTTTTTAAATATACATGAGATCACTGTGAGGTCACTTTAATATTAAAGAATATTTGTAACACAAATTTTAGTGTACAAGACAATTATGAAATAGTGCGCAAGATTGGCCGTGGTAAATATTCTGAAGTATTTGAGGGGGTCAACATCATGAACAACGAGAAATGTGTGATTAAAGTCCTAAAACCGGTAAAAAAGAAAAAGATCAAGCGAGAGATTAAAATTTTACAAAATTTGGCTGGTGGACCAAACATCATTTCACTTTTGGATGTCGTGAGAGATCCTCAGGTAATTAACGAATTATGATTGAGACGTTATGTATCCTTGTCAATTAAAATTATGAGAAATATTAAGGATATATGATACAATTACAATATTTGGAAGTAAAATTAAATTAGACTAATGAATTTTTTTTTTTTTCTTTTAGTCCAAGACACCATCTCTTGTTTTCGAATATGTAAATAATACGGACTTCAAAGTGTTGTATCCAAAATTTACTGATTATGATGTTCGCTTCTATATATTTGAACTTCTGAAGGTATACAATTGAATTCTATGTTTAGTCGTTGGAAATGCTTATAATCTCTCACAGATGTTCATTCCTATGAGGATTTAAATTGTTCCATAGGCGTTAGATTATTGTCATTCGAAAGGTATTATGCATAGAGATGTGAAACCACACAATGTAATGATCGATCATGAAAGGCGTAAGGTAATAATTTTTTAAAAACTTATTCACACAATTTAATAAATATAAATTATTAAAATTATCTTTTTCGATGTCAGTTGAGACTTATAGATTGGGGTTTAGCAGAATTTTATCACCCAGGAACCGAATATAATGTACGCGTTGCGTCTAGATATTTTAAAGGACCAGAATTGTTAGTTGATTTTCAAGAATATGATTATTCCCTTGATATGTGGAGCTTAGGCTGCATGTTTGCTAGTATGGTAAGGTTCTTATGCCATTTAACTTGTGCAAATATTTTCTAATCCAATTTAATTCATCAAGATTTTTCGCAAAGAGCCTTTTTTCCATGGGCATGATAATTATGATCAATTGGTAAAAATTGCTAGAGTACTTGGCACAGACGAACTTTTTGCATACCTTGATAAGTATGACATAGAATTGGATACCCAATATGATGATATTTTGGGAAGGTATTATATGTAATCATATTTAAATTTATTTACTAGTAGTGTATATATAATTTAACTTCGTTATATGACTAGGTATCCACGGAAGCAATGGAATAAATTTATCACAAGCGAAAATCAAAAATTTGTTTCCAAGGAAGCCATCGATTTTCTTGACAGATTGTTGCGATACGATCATCAGGTTGTTTTTTATAAATAATAATAGTTGTAAATTAAGTTGACCGAAATTGATTGACACCATTATTTGTTTGTACAGGAACGACTGACACCCCAGGAAGCCATGGAACACCCTTATTTTGGTAATTATTCGTTATTCGAGTTTGAATTTTTACCTAACTAGAAATAAGTATAAACCTCTATTATTCACTTTCTGGTAATAGAACCGGTAAAACAAGTCGATGGTAATGGTACGCACGTCTGAAATTTGTGATAGGTTGCGTCTGAATATATTGTTTGGAGTATCTGCGCAGTCAACTTGGAGTGTCAATTGACCTGACTGTGAAAAAATATTATTAATAACAATAACAATAACAATTGCATTTCGTCTTTTTTTCTATTTCATTAATAAATCGCTTTTAATTAAGGCCATAATATACGAATTTAAAGTGATTGCTAATTCTGCTTTTTAATTTCTTTAATTTTATATGGCCTAATTAGATTTACTTTGAGGTAGAAATATAATAGCATAGTATGAGATAAAAGCACTTAAATTATTAAATTTTTTTCGGATTAAAATCCGGATAAACGATAATTTAGTTTTTTTTCGCTTTATATATTACACATGTTTATTTTGTATCATGGCTGATGCTGAGATATATTTAATGTTTTATTTTAGGTTAGGATTTAGGGTTAGAGTTGTTAATAACGATAAAAGAGAATAGGTTTAAATGGAGACCCAGATTGAGCATCAGCCGCGGTATTTTTTCTAATATTTGTTATCCCTTTTCC